AGCCTAAGTGGTTGACCATTAACGACAGAGTGTGCCAGCTAACCAATCAGAGCAGACTGGGCTATAAATGTGTAAGTCCTAAACTAGACAATTTTGAACACAATAGGGTCATAAAAACTATGGCTTGAATAAATGTGTTTTTACAGTACAAAATGTATCTTAAAACAAAAGCGTTCAAAGCACATCATTTCATTAGAGTTTTAGAAAATGAAAAAAGTAATTGAAATGAATTGATTTGCACTTCAAGTAAAATGAAAGGGGTACAGCACAACTTGATAAGAAGAAAATGTATGCCTGAGAAAAAAAGAAATACAACATGTAAAATAAATCTAGCCGAATAAAACGTTTATTTCCTACTGAAATGTAGTGGAGCAGAAGCATAAGGTGTCATGATATGGACAAATTCAATTAAAAAGTGTATGTACTGTGCATCAACTGACTCCATCAGCTACAACATGTAGCTTTTGGTGGGATTGGTATACTTAACATTATAACTGCATTACTGTATGTATTAAACGCCTATAGAATAACTGTTATTCATGATGATATGAATTGAGATGACATGAAGTTATTTTGAGTTAAACTAGAAATATCACAAAGAAACCCTGTGGTCATAGTTCCTTCACGGCCGTCTCCTTGGTCAAGAATGAATGACTTGCATTGAAGTCAGTAATTTTCTCATCACCTGACGCAATCACAAGCTGTCAGCCTCTCAGTCAGTCTGGGTCCTCTTTTCTATTCTCTTCAATGCTTTGCCTCTTATAAAGTGTATGTCTGTGGAGACAGTGGAAGAACCGGGCATTTAGGGGGAAGTGGTGAATCATATGAAAGTCTTGATTTAATTGCATAATGGGAAATGTAAGATCCAGTGTTTTTTTTTTTAGATTGAACCAAATTAGAAAAGTCACAATCATGTATTCCTTTCCACTACCATGGGAATTTAAATATCGCAGAAACCAAATGAACAAAACCGTGTAATTTGTTCATGTCTTCCAGTATTTCTTGAAAGAACATGCAATTGGAGCCAAGCACTTTACAATTCAAATGCAATTCAATTTATCAAAAATATTAAGATGACACTATTCATATTAATTCATAAAAATGGGACATGACATCTCTAGGCAATTCATTCAATCTTACAATTCATGAACAAACCCACATGGTCAAAGAACAAGTCAAGTCTAATCTGAGTCAAAGCATGTGGACCCAGGGCTGCAAAACTAACATTTGTGGAGGAGGATTTTTCCTACAGCCAGAACAAATAAAACAGAAAGATGTCAGCACAGAAACTAAATCATCATATGAAATAAACACCTGGAAAAAATCCACAGATATCACGACAGCTTCTGCCTCATGCAGCACACAGTTATGACTCTTTTTGCCTTTAAAAATTAGATGCGCCCTGTTGGTCGCAGGTTGCATGCGGTCTTCTTTTTTTCCACCTCAGAGTAATAAAGAGGCAGGAGCACAGAGCATGGCAACAAAAACAGAGCAGTTCCAGTTGAAACCCTCTGCTCCTGTGTGACCTCTGGCCCCTCTGGAGGACAATTTCTGTGGGACCCTTGTTCCCTGTCAATCAAAAATGTTGCTAGAGAGAGAACACAAGCACACACACACACACACACACACACACACTCACACACATACTCACAAGCGGAATCTGTCGTTTGGGAGACTGACTTTGTCACTGATAATGGAAATGGAAATACAGAAAACAATTATACCCCTGCATGGCTTCAGCCTTTACCTGATGAGCACGTTCATCTCCACCCATGTTATTCTCCATCGCCCTCTGAAATATTTATAATGCAAAGATGGGGTCTCGGAGCATGAAGCGTGTTGTACTCGCGGGCTGAAACCATGGGTGAACTCGAAGACTGCTCATCCGTGTTGCATTGCTTTTGTTTAAAAAAAGGTACCCAGTACACCTGCCAGCTGGCAACACCATGCACACTGATTTGCATTTTTATTTCATTTTAATGTATTCTTCGGAGGTGATGATTTCTAAATATAGGAGTATCTCGATTCTTTGCCCTGTTTGCTAGTAACAAGCAATGCAAGTTAATTCAGTTGCGTAGTGTGTTTTTAATAGATCAAAGAGAAATCTAGGGCTGTCTTACGTAATTAAGGAGAAGCATTAAGAAGAACAAACCCCTGTGGGCTGTTGTTTTCAAATGATGCCCCACTGCTTCCACTGGTACATCACGATTAACGTTGTGCAGACATGCCCTTTTGTTGAGAGCATTAGACAGCAGGCAACAGTCTCAAGGACCAGAAACAAGATCTGGATATTTTTCATTTTTAAACCAAAGGCTGTTGATGTTTTCTGAAATAAAGAGCCAGAAGTCATGACAACGGCATACTTGGCAAGGAGCATCAAAAAGACATGCTTTCTGAATTATTTTCATCTGCTGTGTGGAAATTCGGCTAATAATTACGCTTCTTAAAACTGCGTTATCTTATGAACACCTTGAAACTAGTTCTGTTTCTTATTCCTTGTCATTCACCTCATTAAGCTATCAACTCTGAAGTAACACTGAATCCTACATGAACTACAATAAAGTTTATTATAATCTGATTTCTGTCAACGTTTTACAGACGTAAAAGAAGATTTTCCTAAAATGAGATGTGGTAGGAATGAGAGAAGTGCGAGACGAGCCCCTGATCTACTTCTATCAAGCAGGTCAAGTGGGGCCCTGTTGGTTAATCCCCACAGGAGCTCAGATGATGGTTCAATTATATCCAGAAACTGACACTCGACTCTCGCTCCCTGTCCCCTCTGAGTTTAATCTACTTCATGGCTTAGTTTGGCTGGTTAAAAACTGTGGGCTGAACAAATACTGTGTTTTCATGAAACAAAACAGTCTCCACAATGGCAAGCTGTTGTTTTGGCAAATAAATAAAAACAGGATGCGTGAAATGAAAACGCTTAATTTATAGCTCCCATTCAACATTTGTAGGCAGTAAATAAACATTGAATATATATATTTAGTCAATTTATTGGTCAGTTGATTGACATGAAAATAGTTCTGAATAGTTCTGGTGCCTCACTTATTTCTTTGTCATTATATACGATAGTACTCCTTGGGTTTTGGACTAAAAAGCTGCATTTAAATGATATGTGTTTAGCTCTTTGCGAGGTTGGGCACAGGGCCTCGTGGTAAAAACAGCTACTATGTTTTGTTCTAAGGTTACAATCCCTGCTAGCTTGTGCTGCTTCATTCAGCTGTTATCGGATTGGTTGCTCGTCAAGGTCAGCAAGAATCATGAGCGCAGCTCTCAACGATTATTTTGAGCGTTACGTGACATCAAGGTCATCGCTTCCACTTAGCCAATCTGCACCCATCTCTCCATAGAAACACAACAGTACCATCAATTACTTATTACAATTTCATAGGATTACAACGGAGTGAAGTTCTCCATAATGTCAGCTATGAATGCTTCATAAAATAAGTTATAACGTTTAATACTAAGAAATACTATGTAATTGTGCGTTATTCATTGTATATATGCCAATTTGAAATGCTTATTAGGGGAATGGTAAACTAAAAACTAAATAATATCACCACTTGGCTTTTTTATTGATTAAATTACGCAGTGATATAATGTTTGTTGTTCTAACTAACTGCATTTCTACTTCAAAGAAACTGCTCAACAACAGGAGGGTCCCACAAACCAAAAATATTCAAATGAAGTAAAGCGATATATGCAAATCCGGCCATGAAACATTCCACAAACCCACAGCTCATTGTCAAACATGACTTGAAAATCTCTTGACTGCCAAAATACTGGCTACTTCTCGTCCCTCTCTGCTCTTTCTCTCTACAACCTCCTTGATCTTGTGACGGGTGTATGTAATTGTTGGATGGCCCTTTGCTGCAAAACTCTCATATGTGGAGAGTCTGATCGCAGCGGGGGGGGGGGGGGGCAGCGGTGGAGGTGGGTTGAGTCCGTTCAGTCCAGTCCTCTTAGCCTTCAGGGCAGAGCCAGTAGCTCGGTGATAATTGCGTGATGGAGCCAGTGTTCATATTCATGATAACCCTGAAGCAGGCGTCTCTTCCTGAGAATAGATTTATTCTGCCTGCTCTCACACATCTCTTCATCAACATTCAACAAGCTGCAGGGGTCTAACTCGATCACAGAGTGTAAAGAACTATTATTATTGTTTACAGCAAACTTGTGTACAGCTATAACAGTTTTTTTGCTGCTCGAGTTGCAAATAAAGCATTTCTGAATATACCCACTGTAGATAAAGGACAAACATTATGGTGCCTTAAGATTTAAAAGTGATCACAACTATAAGCAGATATTTGATCAGGAGAAACAGGAAGAAGTATTCTGACCTTGTGCTTTTATAAAAAGTCATTGTACTGCAATGTAAATATAAATTGACACACTAAATGTGTTTAAATAAAAATCCTACAAAAGTAACTGAAAGACAAAAAACATTTCATCTTTGGATTTTCTTGGATTTTTCAGAAAAGTGAAGAGGGAAAATGTCTCTGTGTGAGAACTGCATTGTATAAAAGGTTATACGAGTAACCATAGTTTACCAATGTACCAATTATTTGTAGGCCCAAATAATACACCAGTTTTTTTATAATTAATGAGTTTACAAAAACTGAAAAATGCCCATCTAATTAATTAAATAATTGATATTGTCTCAAACTTCATACATATTCAGCGTTCAATTACATAAATCGGACATTAAATGAATGAATAAAAACTAAAATATTTCCATATAAAGTAACAAGTAACAAGTACTGTAACATGTAATAAATTAAATCTTTTGCAATAAACGTGATAATGCACAAGTATATTTAAGTGGTAGGCTACTGAAGTACGTACAGGACTTGAGTAAATGTACTTTTGACCACTGACACCAGCCTACAATGAGTTTAGCCACAATTGTCTACACATTGAGGGGTCTAGATGTTTTCAGAGAGCCCTGTTTGATCATCCCAAGACATCTGACTGAAATCATTTTTTCTTCTTATCAGAGGGAGGCACGTGTGAAGTAGTGGCTGCTCACCGATGCTGTAATAAGAATCGTATTGAGGAGCGGTCACAGACGGTCAAGTGTTCCTGTCTGCCGGGGAAGGTGGCGGGAACCACGAGGAACCGACCTTCATGTGTCGACGGTGAGTATTTTAGCAGACAGAAACTATTTGTTTTACTATAATGCTGTCCAAAGTTTGCATGAGAAACTACATTTGCCACATAGAAGAAAAACACATGATTCAATTGTTATCATTGATTCAACTAAACACAGAATGCATTATACAAAAAGTGAAATCCTGACAGTCGAATCTGCTATGTTTTCTACAGACACAGAGATTTGTTGGAATAAAAAAACATAAGTCAGCCATGCAATGCCTTGTCCCAGATAAGATTAACATTACCTGGGATAATGTCACAATCAAACCCTGCTGCTGACAGACAGCAGAAGGTATCTGCAGGGGTAAGATTTACTCCAACAGTCAAACTGCTGAATGTAGCACACCTCAGGGAGGAGAACAGAAATAAAGCAAAGAGGTGCAGAGAAAAGCGGCTGTTGATTACATATGTTCCTTGTAGATATTTCATGTTTTTTCCACCTGCTTTGACAAATGTCTGCAGCGCAGAATCAATCCCTTGTAAGAAATGGATTTGGTGTTTGGGTCTGACACAACTAAAGCACATATTGGCTTTAGGAAAACCTCACCTGCAGCTTTTATCTTGAATCCTTTTGCAAATATTACTGAAATCTCTGAGCGGACCGGGGGAATAGGAGGCTGCTCGATGTCGGCTCCGACAGTTTCCTTTCCTCTGTCACACATTACAAACCATTTACTGTCTACTTACCCTGTATTTAAGGCAATTTTCTCTCCTGACGGCAGATATGTGGCGTGCATTAAAGTCACAGTCACAAGTCACAGTCACACCTACCTTTCCACTCACTCAATGAAAGAAAACCCTAGTTCCACCCACCGCATTCATTTGTAACTGCAATGAATAGAGAAACCACATTGTAATACTCACCAATTTTGCTTTTGTTACAAGTTGTCTAAAGCACATACATGTGACATATACAGAAAATCTACTTACTGACGCATTTAACATGACATCTTATCAATAGACAACTCCGCCTAACAGCCATCTATCTGAGAAGTGCCAGTTCGTGCTATATGGTTTTGCACTCTGTTAGGGTGAAAGGCACCTGCATCACCATTTCTCTTGTCTTTGTTGCCTGTAGCATCCATAGTAATTGGGAAGTGGTGGTGTGAGATGGAGCCTTGCCTGGAGGGGGAGGAATGCAAGACGCTCCCTGACAACTCAGGCTGGATGTGTTACGCCGGCAACAAGATCAAAACCACAAGGGTAAGATAACCTCTCTTGACCGCGGGAAATAAGACGTTATGGCAAAGGAGTGGGCGAGAAAAATGCACAGCGCTCAACACTCGCTGTGGCCTAAACAAAGCAGTATCTGGATCAAATTTCACTGCCGATTGACTTGTTAACAACGCATTCTAACCCCTTAATTTCCTCCTGCTTTTTCTCTTGTCAGAACACTCAGCCATACACAACATCAACATATTAACAGATTGCAGAAAGGACTCGAGGGAACGCCTTTGGTGGAAAAGTTAATCAGCAGGTCAGCCTCTTATTTATACCGGGACCTCGTAAGCTAATTAATTTCTCTCAAATGTCTATATTGCTAAGCTTTGTATAAGGGGACACCATTTTTATAATTTCTGTTATATATATTCATAACTTAAATATGCCTTTCTTTCTCGTTTCAGCACTGTCACAGGACCAATTATCACAAAGACAATGAACTTATTGTTGCATTATGAAATGTGAACACTTCTCAGATTAAAGTGTAAAAAGCTGTAGAATACATAAAGCACATCCTGCTCAAGGCTTCTGAAAATACTGACGCTCCAAGATGCCCGCGGGGAACTTCATCGTAACCTTGTAATGAATATATTTTCATCATTTCTTTCAAACTTTGAGATGGAACGTGAATGTCTGTGCATTTGGATTAATATCAGAAGAGCATCTGACGCCTCTCCTCAGATATCAATAAGACAGATAATCACTATGAAGCGCCAACACGGAGAGGAATACATCAAAGGACATGGGACGAGCAAGAACAGTAGTCGACAGCCCTCAGGTTTTTCTTTTTTATTGTAAAGGGGAAAAATATTGTACATAAAATGTTTGTCCTTTTCTTGTCTACATGAACTTTATGATGGAAAAAGATCACTGAAATACCTGAATGCATTCTTGATATTCCCTCTTGTTACCCACAAAACCCAACACCACCAAAGTGTGATGAGTTTAAGGACATGATATTAAGATAAAACAGAGGCATTGTTAGTAAGACGTTTCACAAATACAGCTTGTGTGTCTTGATTCTGTACAGTTTATCATTTTGTTTGTATGGTTCTTGTATGCCTTTAAATCACCTCTTAAAATGGCTATACCAGTCGAAATTGGTAACATGTCAGCTACACTCGAAATGATTGATTCACCAAAAATGTGATACCAGTACTGTAGGTTGTTTTCGATACTTGAAATGCCTTATTTGTGTCAAATCATTCAAATGATGATATTGTAAATATGAAGCCATTAACTGAGATGTGCTGAAGTTTCATTAAAGTCAATGTTCCTGTAACTTTTCTAAGTGCATCACTGCCACTGGTGCTAAATTATACAATACTATGATTACATATTGATGCTAAAATAGCCAAAACACTCATTAAAAATGTAGTTTTAACATTTAAGGAACAAATTTAGGTTTGTCCTATAGTGTGTTAAATACTGTAGGTTTTTCTGCATGTAAATGGTCTGCAAAGGCTAAAATCCCAACGTTCCCTTCAGAGGGAGTTTCTCTCCCACACACCCCCGTCTTGCCTGAAACGCCTCCATTGGACTCCTTTGTTTACCTCCGCAATACAGTGACATCACTATTGGCGCTTTTCCACTGCAGGGCCTCGCTCGGCTTAGTACGGTATGGCTAGGCCACATTAGGCCTTGTTAGGCCAGGCTCACTTTATGCTGCGTTTCCATTACAGTTTAGGAACTGGGGTATTATCTAGATTCTATAGTAACGCAGTGTAGGCGGAGCCGTGACGTCATCTTCAATGCGAAACACAAAACCAACATCAGCCATTAGCCATTAGCTGTTAGCCCTCAGAGCTCACAGCTCCTCATATCTGTTCAGAAACTAGACAAAAGTTAAACAAGTACAAACCACAGACTGTCTGTGTCATGGCGAATACAGTCGCTGGTTTATTTATGCCTGTAGGCCGTTGTTGTGAGTGTGGACGGTCGGAGCATATACAACGTTAGCTTAGCCAATCTGAAAACACGCATTTTAAAAGGTTTTTCGCCTGCCGTCTTGTCTGCAGACTTGTCAAAGCATTAATTCATGGTTTTTACTAACCGGTATCAGTATGTTGTTACTTCGGCATCATTTTGAAACGTGTATTACAATTAAATCACGGTAAAATATGTTAATTTTGTTGTAGTTGCCAGCGATTCTCTCACTAGTTTAGCATACTCAGCCCGGTTGTTGGCCCGGAAAGAACCTCGATTTTGAAGAGCCAGAAAACTGTGAAAAAGTACCCACTAGCCGGAACTACGCCTAGTGGAAACGCAACCAAAAACGGGCCGGGCACGGCACGCTTAAACCGCGCTGTAGTTGAAATGCGCCATATATTACTCTCACGCTACTATTGGCTTGCGCTCCAACACATCATACTAGATAGTCTAATAGGCAGGACATCTCTAAGCGGTTGACCAATCACAACAGAGCCGACCAGCTAACAATCATAGCAGACTGGGCTCTGGTTTCAGACAGAGGGTGAAAAGAGGTGCTGCAGGCAGTATGAGAAAAATAAAGAGCTTTTTGAACATTAAAGCATGTAAACATGTCACAGTAAAGAAACAAAATACAAATATGAAACTGAAAAAGAGCATATAAGGGCTCCTTTAACAAGAACTTTAATATTAAAGTTGAAGATTAAAACCACTCTCATGTCTGTGTAGTTCCAACCGCTCATTTTGGCTCGCTCGCGTCAACAGCACTTCATTATGCAGAGGAAAATAACTATGGATTGACCCATTAGTGAATTTAACAACTTTAAAAAGAACTGATGATTTAAATTGAACCATTGAGTGTTCATAATGGAAGGCTGATTTACCCAGAAAAAAAAACCCACCTATTTCCAATGTATAGGTCTAAGCGAAAAAGTATTTTTGGGGCCAGGCATCACATGAAGGATCCTTAAGTTGTAACTTCACGGTTTGGACTTGCTTCAAAGCCCAGCAATGGTCGTGGGGTCATGTATGAGACAGGCATAAAAAGCTAGCCAACTAACACTTATAAAGCTCACATGTACATCATGTGTTCAATTGAACTAAAATAAACCTCTTTTAAAAAATCCTATTGACTAGCAGGGAATAAATACATATCCAGCCTTGTTGCAGAGCCGTACTAAACAGTCATTTATGTGGTAGAGGTAAGATATACAAAATATATATATTCCTAGAAAACATGCAGGTAAATGTCCACAAGAGCTGAAGTTTTTGTATGAGACTGGCAGTATTTTTAATTGTGTTTAATTATAGCATACTCAAGTGTATTATAGGACTGTAGCTTTATTTTTAAAAAGACACATATGAGAGTGGTCTCAATATTGTAATCTACATCTGGGTTAAACCTTAAACTATTCATTAAATCATAATTACCAAAAACATCCCCCCATTTCAGAGCTGCACGTTAGAGCCAGACACCAAGTGTATTAACTGGAGTTGCTGTACACTCAGGTATATCGAGCGAAAAATTATTATACACAGATGAATGGACTCGCTCCTTTATTTACAACTCTTTGATGTAGTATCGCAGTGGGATGCCGGCCCGAGCTTTCACAGCCTCTGCCCCTCTGGAATTATTCCAGGAGGAATTCTGGGTAACTGCTGGTGCTGTGTGACATCCATCTTCTGGAGAAATGAAAGTTTTTCCTGGACCTTTAACTTATTTCATTATTTCCCACTGTCCACTTATTTTCAGCTTTGTTTCCAAGCACTGTTTGTCAGTTAAATTGCAATGCAGAACTTGTACTATTCATTAGATAAATATATGGATGAAATATGCCTAATTTGGTTTTAAAGTATTTATTTAGCTGGATCTGACCAATGATCTGCCAACGTCAAGAAAGCCTGGAACAGGAATAAAGAGCCTCTGTTTAAAATGGCACAGTTTATTTATGCATTGAAGAGGTTTCTTTTATCGCTTTTTCTTGCATCTACCATTGTTCTTGTGAGTGACATTTTAACTTGCGTCAGTTTAACTTATATAAAACAGTGATTTCAACAATGACAGCTCCCATTAGTTCTCAAATTCCTGGTTCCATGTCGAGGAACTCGATATTGTGCAAACCTTAGGGAGAAAGCCCAAAGCATTATGTTTTCATCCATTATCCAGACAACGCTGCATCTTCAAATTTATTGTTGCTAAACGCCTGGAGAGAGAAATTGGTTACCCTTAGCAAAACCAATGTTTGGGTTCAGTATTTATACCCATGATGTTCTAGTCTTTGCAAGAACATACATTAAGTCTATTCCACAGGCTATAGAAATATAGGATTAGACGTTAGTTTTTGCCCCTGGGAAATCGTTTGGACATTTTGGGCTAACAGGAGAATCTGTAGGGGTCACGGAAATAACTCTAAAGATACAACATGCTGCTGTAAATCTTTTCCTTTTTAAGAACAAAACGTTTAAAAACCTTTCACAATCAGTTTGCACAGGCAGCGCTCTTGTGTCTGACAGAATCAAAGTGACGCATGGAGTGCTGAGATTAAATGATATCAAAACCCCAAAACCAGTATGTCTTTTTTTTTTTTAAGGAAAGACTTATCAAAGAAACCCACTGTGAAAAATATGGTACAAAAGCAAGTTGATCAGTGCCTAAACTGGACGTGCGAGGGGAGTTTTTCTCTCAATTTAACACATGTTAAGCTTTATTGCATGGCAACTACAGTGAAATTGCATAGTTACTACTTGTCATTATGGCATTTTCACCCCATAAATTACCATACAGTTTGTGAATTTGAATCAGTTAGAAACCAAAATGAGGAGACACAACCAAGTTCTGCTGTAATGAAAATGTGTGTTTGTATTAATGGTTAATACTAAATGAATAGGCATCTGAATGCCAAGTATTCAATGTTTGCTGTATTTCAGTCGTTGCACATGCTGTCTGTGGGCCTCGACTGGACTGTGAATGTGCAGCATAAACACAGATGCCAAATTACAGAACACTTTCCATCATCCATTGTACTGAAATTACAACATTTGTCCAAAGGCGCAGCGGCTGCATGAATACATGAAAATGCTGTTTAGGTCGTGCTTTCTTTTGCTTCAGGCTATTGCAATTCAAACTAGCCTTTGACATAATGTTTCCTGTCCAACATGGGATTGCTAAATGAGCATAATATGTGCAAGATGGCAGCGAGCAGCATCTCATTTTCTGTCAGTCTTCTGAGTGGCTCTCTAGGCTGCCGCTGTAGGCTCTGATGTCTCACATCAAGCTGCTGAACAGTGAGAAATAAGACACAAGTGATGGTGATGTGCCCTGACTTCTTTTTATGATGCACCAGGGACGTCCTGGGAATTGAGGCTCCTGTGGATTTGTTCGGAAGACATATTTCATTCAAAACACTCACACAGTCTAGTCATGCTCCTTTCTCTGCACTTGGAAGTCTCTCCTCCGTTTCCATGAACATCATGGTGCAACTTAAAGCAACAGGATTTGATGATAAGGTGTTAAAGGTGGGGTAGGTAATTCACTTCAGAAACACTTTTTGTTATATTCCATGGAATGCTCTTAACATCCCGATAGCAATGAATACATTAAATGCTTTGACAATAAATAGATACAAAAATGTCATCTGTGGAAGCCGTAGCGCTGTAAAAAGCACGACCAACCATCTGAGCCGGCCCGGCTAAAATAACTGGATGGCCTACCTGCCTGTCAGCCTTCCATCTGTGCACAAACTTATCTCGTGCCCTCATTGGTCATGTGCGCGTTCGTGTGTGTTGGAGGAGGGGCTCTAAGGAAGTCTGAAGGAAGGGGCAGATTTTTTTCGGCTGCGTACTTTCAAATTATAGCACACTCGAGCTGGTTTCTCCATTCTTACCTACCCTACCCTATCTTTAAGTGTTGAAATAAATCGTATCAAGAAGAAAAATTCCCACACATCGATAATTATCTGCTTGAGAGAAGATCCATGCTCAATATGCCTTGGTGCTTAGATCCATTAGTAGTGTATAAAAGGAAATGCAGGCAAACAGTGGATCTGCGTCGGATTTATGTATAAGAAACGGCAATGTTTGCATATATACGGTGCATAAAAAGCATTCAACGTGATAAAAGTCAGTGACTCCTCTTTGCAGTAGTTCTCTGAGGCATTAAGCAATTGTAATGATTAAGCAGTCTAATCACACCCTGTAACCGAGAACTGTCTCCACTGGCCCCTGCAGGATTCTGAGATTTTAAAGTCAAGGTAACGCAGACCAAACTGGATTCTAATTAAAGTTGACATCAGGTGCCTCATGCTCCTTTCCCCCCCCTCCTCCTCAGGCTTTCATCTAAATG